ATTATATGTATATATGTGTGTGTATATACAGTGTGTATGTATATATATATATATATCAGTTTGTCTGTCATGTCTGTGACCCAGTCAGTGCCTAAAAAGTTACAGGCCATAGTTACATACTAATCACTAAACCAAAGTATGAGCAATAGTAGCATTAGTAATAGTGATGATTACCTTTGCAAGTAATACTAGTTATCAAGGTTGTTAACTGTGTATTGATTTTGTTTTTACTCATAAACTCATATTTTTTATTGTTCAGACACCAAAGGGTTTCGGTCCGGTTTGTGTGTGTGTGTGTAGCGCTTTCATGAGGACAATACTCTTCTACATATTCTTGCATCAGTTTCTAATAAAAACTAAAGTGTTTTTATAAGGGATGTTTATGCAAAAAGTAATCCCTTTTATTCTTTCGTTATTTCATTTTATATGTATCTCCATTCCTGTTTCCTGTATCCTTACCATTTTCACAGATGTGACCAGTATGTAACTCAGTTAGATGAGATGCAGAGACAGCTCGCCGCCGCTGAGGATGAGAAAAAGACGCTCAACTCTCTCCTCCGCATGGCCATTCAGCAGAAGCTGGCACTGACCCAGCGGCTGGAGGACCTGGAGGGCCCTCTGTCCCCTCTCAGTAACGGTAGCAGCCCACGCCACTCCCGGACCAAGCATCTGACCAAATCAGGCCGAGCCCCGCGGAGCCCCATGAGAAACAGTCCACGCTCCAGTCCGGTGCTAGTGCCTGCTGGCTCGCAGAACATGAGCAGCCACATGAGGGCGCTCTCACGCAGCCTTCACTGCAGCCCCGTAAGAGCGCCCTCCTCTTCTTCCTCATGCTCGTCTTTTTCTGCCTCAAACGAACCTGAGTCCTCTATGTCCACGCAGAGTTTAGCATCTGTCGGTCTTGTGCGCAACACTACTTTCATTCGTAGTTACGGGTCAAGTTCGTCTCGCTCGTTAGATGACTCTACTGGAGGGTTGGGACCGTTCGCTATCCAGTCACGACAACCCAAAGTTAACGAATCGCAAGCAAATAGCCTGAAAGTGTAGGCACCATTGCGCAGTAACACGTTTATTAAAACACGTCGCACATCTGTTCCTGTGAGCAAAGTTGGTTCACGTTCAGTCGAAGCCCTTGACACACAATTAGCTAGAACTGGTGGATCAGAGAAAAGACATAAAGTTACAATGGAGGAGAATGATTTAAAACCTTCCAAAAAGTCCAATGTAGAAGGTGCATTTCTCAAAAAGCGGTCTAACATCTCTAAATCTCGATCTGATAAAGGAACTTCCTTTAGTCATTTTGCATGTTCAAATACAGCATCTATGATGCAATCGAAATTTTTCCCTCAGGCAACATCAAGTGTAGCATCTTCTAGTGATCAAACCACTCCACACAGTTCATCAGATAAGCACCAGAAATGGCCCTGTAGGACAAAAGCATCCTCTAGGTTAGCAAGCCACTCAAACTCATGTCATGACTTCGGTGAGGAAATGGTCTTGAATCCTAGTCGTGAGATTAAGGGGAAACCAGATCAACTCAGAAAACAGCAAAGAGGTGTTGATGCAGCAAAAAGATCGACTCACACTTACACACACCAGACCAAGTTCAGAGCCACGTAACTTATCAGTTGTTGACTGCTGACACATCACATGAATAACAAAATTTCACAACCAACTCTGATAAAGCGATTTAAAAAAATACATAGGGAAGTTCAAGATCAGATGTTTCTGCTCACTTGGTTGAGCATTTCATCAAAGCACTCATAACAGTGTAAAAAATACCTGCAAATTCTCTGCATCAGTTTTTTTTTTAATAAATCATGTTACATTTGGGTTCATCATCTGGTTTTGTAAAAACAGTAATATTGTGAAATGATGGCAAATCTGAATTTTCAGCATCATTACTCCAGTCTTCAGTATCACATGATTCTTCAGAAATAAAAACTGGTTGATAGATTGGGTATTCAAATTATTGTTGATAACTAGTTCATAATTATTTTAATCTTATGGCTGATAAATGATGATTGGCAATACTAAAATTGTCTTAACTGGATAATAAATATAATGTTAAAACTAAAAATCTAATTTTAAATGCTGCAAGTGAATTTAGACATCACAACGTTATGATGTAAAGTGTGAAAAATGGTTATTCATTTTGAGAGTTGGTAAAAATGACAGTGTTATTAAATTGCTAGTGTTTTTAAACTTTAAATTAGTGTTAGTTGACGGCCAAGGTAAAAAAATTGTAGAAATTATCAAAATTAAATATGTAGTATCAACCAATATGGGTCAATTATAAAATCTTTAATATTGTGGCTAAATGATACGGTACTATTACATTATGCAAAAAATCTGGAGAAACGTACTAGTGGAAATTTACTTGAAATGGAAGTTTATGATGCAGTATCGGTCTTTTTGTCATTTTTATGTGTAGTTGAGCCTTTATTGAACCAAGAATGTTCTTTTAAGCTTTAAGTGATTGTTTTCTTCATAATTTAAAACAGTCTGTTGTTGTTTCCTATCTTATTCTCTCCTGTCTCTAATATCAGCTCAGCATTTGTATGGATGAACACGTTTGACTTACTGTGTCTCACTCTGTCTTTGCAGAGATGAAAACCTCCTTGTGTCTCCCTCTGTGCTCCAGTACAGATGGACCATGTTCATGCCCAGTTCATGAACACCCTTATCCTGCAGACCTGTCCCAGCATCCTCCTCCTCATCAGACCTCACCTCATTGGATCTCTCGTCATGTCTCTCGTGCCTCTCCTCCCACCCCCTCTCTCGCCTGTTTTTCCATATGGTTGTCTTCTGTTTGTTTGGATCAAGTCGTTCAGCTTCAAGATACTGAAAGCTGAACACAGTCATGTCATACCATCAGATTTTTCCCTAATCATGAACACATGAACAAAACCAAAAACTCTTGGACTAAACTCTACTGTTTAGTCTGGCTGTGACTGACCTTTTCTTATACTGGCCATAGATAAACATACCTTGTTTTGGTTTTAGCTATTAAAAACTATCATGGAGGACATTCCTCAGGTTTAACTGACCAGTTGTGCGGTTCTACTAAGTCTAGAGAGTTTGTTATTGGTTATTGACATATAACTTGCCCTGGCATTTAAAGACTGCTACAGTGAAGTGAGAAAACAACAACCATATAACCAGAAAGCAGAACAATCAACTATGGCAGAGGTTCAAAGACATTTGCTGCTAATTAGCTCATGCAAAAAAAAAAAAGCAAATTACCAAACTGCCAGTTTATTCTGCCTATAACACAGAGTTAACCATCAGCACTGTTAGACAAATGTGATTTATTTAGTAGGACAGTGGCAAACTTGTAATGGTTGGGTTCATGTCAAAAGGGAACACACTGACTAGGAAAAAATTGTAATAGGATTTAAAATAGTGCCTTAATACTTTGATGTTTTGAGTGAAGATTTGCAGATAATTGGTTTAATATTTTGTTTATTGAATTGATGATTATGGTCTAGGTTGTTTTAAGACTAATTATGGACTTTGTTTGTGCATGTATGAACAGTACAGATAATATTACATTCCCCAATAGGCTTGTTTTGTTCAAAACAATATTTCACTGTGCTTGTCAGAACCGTGATTATTTGTCAGATGTCGTGTGGACCTGCCTGTCAACACTTTCATCTCGTTTTCGATATTCATCGTCATTTCCATATTGAAAAAAAATGCTTCCTATTGTATTTTTATTGTTTTTATTTTTTTACGCTGACTTTCTTTTATATGGTATTGTTCAGTCCTACAGAATGGTAATTTCCACACAATATCAGGACTTGTCTTAAATATGTGGTGAAAAAAAAATAAAGTTTTCAATGTTCGTGTATTTGTTGTCTTTTGTCTGTCATATTGAGGATGATTTGACATGTCAATCAATTATATTTTGTTTTAATTTTAAAATTGTAGAAATTCCGTTTTGGTGTTATATATATTATATGTCTGTATATTTTAAGTTTTAGTTCATGTAGTTTTAGTTTATTTTATTTCAAGTAATGAAAATGTTTTTTAAGGTTTTAGTTCATGATAATAACCGTGCAGCAAGATGATGGTAAAAATGTCACTGAATGGTTACACATCACCTAATGCTTTCTTTTAAACATTATCAGAAATGATCCCATTTACTATGACCCATACTGTATGTTCATGTGCTTATAACCTAATCTAGCATTTAAAAGTAATGTAGTTGTGTTTGGAGATTTTAGATACTTGTTTTTTAAATGTGATAATCGTGTTTGAAATTTTAGATAATTAAACATATTGAGCTGTTAGTCTTTTAATCTTGACAGATTGAATAACCAGTAGCCCTGTTTGATTTCACTTTCCCTTCATCACAATTCAAGTGTTTCACTTCCCTCGGAGTTCCCAGAGTCATATTTCAGGTTTGAGGGTTTTGTGCCCTCTAGTTTGACATTTGCACATCTTTAGTTAGAGGGGTCAGTTTTTGTCATTACTTCCTGAAGTCAAAAGATCCCTGAGCTCAGTATAACGACTCTTTTGTTACTCAGCTGACAAAGAGCCAGCGCTTCTCATTAGGCTCTTCTCCTTCAACGCAAATGTATCGAAAGGGTCTGAAGGAATGTATCAGAGTAATTTTCTCATCAAAATGTAGTTCAACAGACGTACTTAATAGTATTTTAGTACTTAAACACATCTCTGGTTTTTAGTTAAGCTAATGCGAAATGCACCATTTGCAGCCATAATTATTTTATTTTATAAGCGAAAGCGTCCGATAAAGAGCGTTGGTCATGTGCTCTAACCTGCCTCCATTCAGAATTAAACGGCTTTTATTAGGCTACTGATATAACAGGAGCCCACATCTCATTAAGGTACATGATTTTAAACATAAAATAGCCCACTATTCACATTATTTATGTGTACGATATTTGGCCTATCCGTGCGCCTTTTTGATCCTTCGTTTGATTCGTCGTTCCCTCACTGCCCCCAAGCGGCGTACAAGTGAAGTGCGCCTCACATGGACGGACAGCGAGATGAAGTGGCTCCTCTCTCCCTCTCTCAGGTGTCCCCTGTGTTGTTGTGCGGTAAACAGATAACCTGCACTCGCTGCTGCTCACAGGGGACCTCGCTCATGGAGCGGTGACACACTTTCGGTGAGTTCAGAACTACGCCTTCCATATTCTTAGTACAGCTTATCAGCTATATCGCGTTTGAAGCCACAGTGTTTGTTTCAACATAAGTGTTATTTTCCATAATAATGTCATTACTCCTGGATGATGAGGTTTACAACATGTCTAGACTGGAATCGACATCTTGAGTGAATTATTGATTGCATTTTGGTGTGTTTCATTTTGTTCTGATGCCTTTCTGTAAGTCAAAACTGTGATTATGATTCTTGTAATGCTTTTAAATACAATATTGTTGTGTCCATTCCTATATACAGATGTTTGTAGTATATAAATTAATTTTTTCAGTCAAAATTTCTAATATGTCTTCTTATCCACTTGCATGAAAATGCATTTATCTGTCAGTTGGCAATTCTGATTTTGCTTGAAATGACAAATAAATCATTTGAGCGGGCAGGCATTTGACCAGCTGATAAATTATAGATCCCCACTTAGGTGAAACTCTATCTCTCCCATCTTGTTACTCTCTTTGCTTTCGTTGACGACCCCAATGCACAGTTTCCCAGCATGCAGCAGGAGCTTTGGCTGAGGGCTCTTCTTGATACCCGCGTGTGCAATGAGATCGGCCGCTTCACAAACACTCCCGACTAGACCGTCCGAACAAGAACTCAAAAATGCCTTATCCAACAGCCTCGCAGGACACAACCACGTCTCCAACTCCAGCAGACCAGCACAGTCCAGAGCAAAGACGCCCACAGACACATTTGATTGTAGTTCTTTGCATCATCATGGCGATAATCGAGGTGCGTTGTCCTGGTGTTTTTCACTGACAGTGACTTGAAAAGTGTGTCTTGTAGAATCTTGCAGAAATAACTTTTGTGTCTAAGAAAATGCAGATAAATGTGATATTGCTGAGGGCCCCTGGAACCTGAACAACCCGGTGAAAGCCTCAAGGAGCCATCAGGAGCTTCACAAAGAGCTGTTACTGGCCCACAAAAAGTAAGATCACCATAAAATGGGCCAAATCAGGTACAGTCATGGAGACTTTAATAAATCGCTGAGCTTTTTTTTTAAGTGGGTTGTTGAAATATTGATGATGCCTCGTTCTCTGTCTCTGGTCTTTTGTGTTGTGCAGTCATGTGTGGACAGGACACACAGGCTGCAATCGTACACCCTCTGGTATTATCAGCAGCCAACGTCGGGCCACACTGTGGCAGACACTGTAATGATAGGCCTGCTGCAGTGCAGCCTCCTGACACTACTGCTGTGTCCTGCCATGAAACCTCCAAAAAACAATAGTTTGGTCAGTTTGGCAGGAAATATGGGCTCAAAAATGACAGTCAAATCTCATGATGTCTATGGAGTCCTTAACTCAAAATAAAATAAGAAGGAAAACATTGTTAACTTGAAAACTTCTATAAAACTTTTGAGTTCCCCTAGTAACTTTGCATTCGCTCGCTTCTGATGGAAATAATATTAGGTGGAAGGAAAAGTATATGTCATGCATTTGTGGGCAAACACAAAGTGTCTCGGGGGATGCAAAACATCTGCGAGAGAATGCAAAAGCATTTAAATATTATTTATCCTCCTGAAAAACAATGAGATGGGAGTAAAAATTATATTTTAATGCTTTTGCATTTTCTCACAAAACTTTGCATTCTGTAGCAAAAATTTTGTTCACCAAGAAACTTTGCATTGTCTCATGAACCTTTACATTCTGTCGCAAAACTTCAGGGTTCCTCCAAGAAACTTAACGTTCCCTCGCAAAACTTTTGCGTTCCCCCTAGAAACTTTGTTCCCTCACAAAATGTTTGCTTTTTGACACAAAACTTCAGAGTTCCCCTGAGAAACTTCACATTCACTCGCAAAACTTTTGCGTTCTGTCACAAAATGAGTGAATGCAAAGTTTCTCAGGGGGTGCAGACGTTTTGTGAAGGGGGCTCCATATTGTATGATGTCGCAATACATTTTGAAAGTACAAGAAAAAAGCTTTTGCATTTTCCTCAATTATTTGAATTATTTTCTCATTTTTAAATCATTGGATAAAAGTGTCTGCTAAATACATAAATGTAAATTTCACCTAGATACATTATCATCAGTTGGTGTGCTGTACTGTATATTTAAAACATTTTTTCCCCCTAGTAGGATCAATATTCCTGTCAATCAATCTGATTTTACTAGGGATAGTTATTGGGGTTTGGTCCATCATGACTGTTTAATGGAATGGACCAAAAAAGCATCCAGACAGCACTGGATTTTCTGTTTAACGTCATGTTCATTTTTTTTCTCTCCTTATAGACATTACAGTTCTTCGACTACTTTTACATACAGTGTTGTTTATGTTAACTAAAACTATTTAAAAACGTTTTCATTAAAGGGGTCATTTGATGCTATTTTAAAGATCATTATTTTCTTCTTTATGCACCAAGAGCTTGTAACACTCCAAAGAGAAAGGAAAAATTGAAATCGCATCATATGACCCCTTTAATTGAAATAAAGGTAAAATAAAATAAAATAAAATATAAATAATAGATGAAAAACCTAAACTTATAGAAAAAAAGTAAATAAAAATAAGCAATGTTGCCTTGGCACTAAGTTGAAGCACGAAAACGGAAATAGAAATAAATAGAAATATTTAAAAATAACTAATAAAAATTATAAAAGCTAATGACAAAATGAATAACTTAACATGTAAAATCAAAACTGCTAAATAACAAGCTAATTCAAAATATTAATAAAAACTGTAATAGTATATAAATAATAGTAAAATAACACTGGTAAACTGTTATTTTTATATGTGCTGTTTGTGCTTGGGCCCTTTGGGTGGGACAGAGGGCTGGTGGTGTGCTGTAAGCCGGAGCTTCAGATGGTCCTGGAGAGGAGGAAGAGAGAGCAGACCCAGAGAGAGGAGGGAGAGCAGAGCAAGAGTCCCCTGGAGCAGGTGCTGCAAGAACGCCAGAGCAAACATCAGGAGATGATGGTCAGCAGCCACAGCACAGTGTGTGTGTGCTGAAACTAATCAAACACAAATGCTGTGATTGCACAATGAACCAGAAGGAATTCAACATTAAATCTGTAGTGTTAGTTAAATGGAAATCATATGAGTTTTAATTATTTGGACATTGCTAGTATTACATGTTTCTTGCTTTATTTCTTGACTGTTAACCATGGTTCCAGCATAGCTACCACATTATTTCTACTGTGTTATTATCATAATAAATTAATATGCACAAACTGTGCATTCACAATCTTTAATGTAATTTTGTTTACCACACTGTAGACATGTAGGTGGAAATGTTTGTTGCATGGTCAGTTTTAAAGGTGAGATTTTCATCAGTTTTATTAGTCTTCTGTGTTTTGTGATTTGTCCTGTTGTTTCTCAGAAGGAGAAGGAAGAGGAGCAGAGGTTGCATGAGGAGGTTCAGCTCTTGGAGTTTGTCCGAGTGAGACAGAACCTGAGGAAAGTCCACACAGCTCTACAGAAGAACCTCCACTCTTGAATCTGACCAGCGCTGATCTGACTAAAGGCATGCTTCATTTAGCCATTCAGCTTTATTTGCAAATAAAGTACACAGTGTTTCATTATAATCATTATTATCTTGTTAATTAACCTTTTTCACAGTCTGTTACAGTTCATTACACTTTTCATTTGTGTTCTGCGATAATGAAATGATGTTCAAATAACTCAAATATCATTATTATTACTACAATTATTGGTAGGCCCTAGTACTATAAAACCGCATGAAATCTGCTGAAATCATTCGGTTCATTTTGTTGAACTTTTTTTGTTGAGAGTGGCCTGTACAAAGTTATCAAATAGGTCATTAAATAAATAACACAATTCTACCATGGTACATGTTGAACTACACGGTTGTCGTATCCATGTTTTTGATAATTTATTATTAGTAAAAAATAATAACGAGGTAAAGAATTACCTTGGTAAAATGTTGTAATAGGTGTTAAAAGTATTTATAAATGTCATTATTGTAAGTTTTATCCTATTGTAAAATATCAAATCAGATTTAATTATTTATTGAATTAAATAAACATGGTTTTGAATGATAAAACAATCTGCTGTAATGTCACTCTACCTGCATTTGCAATAAAACGATCCTATTGTGAAAAGACGCTCTGTTTGCGCAGCAGTCAAACTGTAGCAGTGCTTGCGAAGCTAAATGCGTGTTGCGCAAGTGCAGCGCTCACATGAGCCCACTAAACACGCCCTCGCCTGTCCTCCCGCGCTGTGATTGGATGATCAGGGACAGCAGCTGGCGAATGAGCTCAGGAAAGCGGAATAAACAGGAGCAGCTGGCTGGATGTTGGTCATATGATGCGCCGATTTTCACTGTCCCTGCAAAAATCGAGGAAGAGTCGATTTATCAGCGCTTTTATCAGTCACTATAAAAGAAGATCTTTTTAAAAACAGTCAAGTATAGAAGGGGTTTTTTCTTCATCTGGAAAAACAGGTGAGTGATTATGAAATACCAAGGGGACGCAAGTTTTTAACATGATTTGTTTTTCTCGTAAAGTCGTGTTGTTCCACTGGCACGCAATATGTAGAGTTTTTACAGTAATATCATCATCAGCTATCACAGATTTAACAAAACAGTTCCACAAATTAACTTTTTGTAGAGAGTCAGCAAACACTTTACAGTTACCTTTACTTCTAAAAGCTTTTAGTTCGTTCAAGCAGATAATGTTAATGATGCACTAAGCAAAAGCTTGTGTTTAATAAATGACCTGAACGGCTGGCAGTGGCTGCTATTTCTTTTTAGTTCTATTTATTTCATTATGGAACTGAGTTCCAATTCGAGTGTTTTTCAGCAATTGCCATAAGACATGCACGCAAGATTTTTAAAGGGGTCATATGATGTTGCTAAAAAGAACATTATTTTGTGTATTTTGGTGTAATGAAATGTGTTTATGCGGTTTAAAGTAAAAAAAAAAAACATTATTTTCCACATACTGTACATTATTGTGTCTGTTTAAAGTTTTCCATGTACAGTATTGCTTTAAAATAAAGTTTTAATTTAGTCGGAATAGTAAAGCTGCTGTAAGCAATTTCTTTGCCAGTAAAGGCACCAATTGGAATAGCAAATTAATAATAAAATTAAAAATATTTTATTTAAAAAAAAAAGATTTTATTTGCTTTATAGTTTTAATGTTTTAGTTTAGTTTTCAGTTTTAGTTTTCTGTTTGAGAGAATTTAACAAGACTTCAATTGATTTCATCTTTGCATTGCTGAGTTATTGATTATGCAAACATTTTAGGTGTATGATACACAGCAGACAGAAGAGATTTAAAGCTAGCATATGGACAGTAAACATTGATTCACTGACAAAGATCAAGGGTCAGTTTTAATTTAGTCGGAATAGTAAAGCTGATGTAAGCAATTTCTTTGCCAGTAAAGGCACCAATTGGAATAGCAAATTAATAATAAAATTAAAAAGATTTTATTTTAAAAAAAAGATTTTATTTGCTTTATAGTTTTAATGTTTTAGTTTAGTTTTCAGTTTTAGTTTTCTGTTTGAGAGAATTTAACAAGACTTCAATTGATTTCATCTTTGCATTGCTGAGTTATTGATTATGCAAACATTTTAGGTGTATGATACACAGCAGACAGAAGAGATTTAAAGCTAGCATATGGACAGTAAACATTGATTCACTGACAAAGATCAAGGGTCAGTTTTTAACATCACAGGATCACTACTGCAATGCCTACATATTCAAACTTTATTAGTCCTTCTATAAAACAGCCTTCATGCATGACCCTAAACCGTCACTTTTATTTTAAGGAACAATGACTGCAGCACTGCTGGAACAGTATCGAGAGAGAATCCGGACTGAACTGGACAGAGTCGTGGATTTCTGGCTGAAATATTCCCATGACAAAGAACAAAGGTGAAATGATTTATATTTTAATACATGGGTTTAGCAGTACTTCACTATAATTCTTTAAATGTCTAACTGGATGCTAAAATATTTGTATTCTGTAAGCGTGAATGATTAACATACATAAATGCTGAAGCATTGAAATTGTCCTTAACACTGAACCCTGAGGGACACCCATCATTCAAACAGTATTCATATGAAATGTTTTGAAATTATTAATTATTTAAGGCGTATGTACTTACTTTGCTAAGTTATGTGTTAAAGTTCATTTAAAAATTAATTAATTTAACATGTGGATTAAATATAATGCCCCTGTTAAATGTTTGTTTCATTTTATTGACTTTAGTGGGTTTTTTAACTGCCTTGGAAAAGATGGGAAGGTCTATGATGAGCTGAAATATGTGTGGTTACAAGGGAGACAGGTTAGATTTTTTTTTCTATTTTAGTTTTTATTTTCAAGTTCTGTCTATTCATATATTACAGTTTTTCTCAGTCGCTTTGGTGCATTTCTCAGATCAGAAATGAATTTCTCAAAACTACTCATCATCTAGTCAATTGTGCACATCATAAAAACAGTTTCTCATTCTTTTGAACAAGTTGCGATTGCTCTGGTACATTAATGCAATTGATTATGTACATTTGTCTGCGGTTTCCTACATTATCAGTTGCTAATGTCATGATAAGTCATTAAATGCAAAATGGTTGATCTAGTTGTCATAACATATATTTTCTACACATATCTATTAAACTTTTTGTAAATTTGCCATGAATTGTGCAAGTGAATCTTGACTTTCACTAATGAAGAGAATGTAGATCAGCTAATGATAAACCAGTTCTCTGAAATAGCTCAAAGGTGCATCTCATGAACCTTCAATTGGAAAGCATATACAGACAGAGGACATCACAAGAGTTACAAATTCTGACAATGGATATTTCCTCGCCGTTGGCCTGGTAAATCAACAGTAGCTCTGTGGCCGATGACATTTCAACCATGCCTTCTGCTTTTGGTCAGGTTGAAGCCAGCCTCATCCACATATATGAAGTTGTGAGATGGTTCACTTGACTCCAGTTCCACGTTGCATTGCAAGGGAAGATATTCGCTGTGATGTAGATGAGAATCTGTGGGCCGACAGACTGGCACGTCAGGAGGTGTAGACAGACTGCACTGCAATTCCTCAAACAGTGCTGCGTGCAAAAGCAAAGTTCTGCCTAAGGGGTGTTTCCTGTGTTTGCCTTTCTAATTTTGTATTTTGTGGCCATATTTCTTTACTATATCACAGTGACGTTGTAATGCTTTATTTTTATTTTTATTTTTTTGTCAGACCACTAGTAAAGTGTAACTGTGAATCCTATCCAGTCTCTTTCAATCAATATCCCACATA